GACCAGTCTTCGATCGGTGCACGGTTCAGTGAGCAAGCGCAATCGCGTTTCCATGTCAATCGGTAAATTTGCAGCCACCCAATAGCTAAACGCCGTTGCACCCTAAAATGATCGTCCTTCAACAAAATCCGCACATTCAATTTTCTCTTTAATAAAAATCAAGACCACTGCCAGGCCAATTTCTTTGTGTTTCATTTGATGAACGGCATGCACATAAAAAATTTTGCAGAAATCGTCGATAATACATCATAACAAGCGCTTTCCAGTAATTCTCATATATCATTATGGGAAAATAAACTGGACCTGTGACAAGACATACTTAATTTTGCCAGACGGATGCCATCCAATTAGCCAATTCACCAAACAGTCCTGATAATGCTGCTGCAATGCAGTCCATTAAACTTGATAAAATATATATCATTGTGGCACAACGAGATGGGACTCACTCGCCCATTCTGCGAAACAGCGCCCGAACAAATTCCCCAAACAAAGTATATTCATAAAGAAAGTCGCCGAATTCAATGCGAAAATGCTAAATTTGGCTCGCAACAAGAGAAAATCGATTCAAAAAATGTAAGACTGCTTGGAAGGATCGCAAAAATAAGCGAAACAGAATGTCGCAGTACAGAAAATCGACTAAAAAATTCAAAAATAACGCGCAAAAACATACCGTCAGGGACATTTTCAACGCAAAATACGAATGTGACGTTATCGCTGCACAATAGCGCAAATTCTAAAATTTAAAAAAAAAAAAGTAGAAAACAGTTGCCACACAATTAGTATTTTTGTTCAAATCTTTCGTTATAAGCCAAAACAATTTGTCAAGTATCTTTTAAGTTGTAAATTTTATTCACCCCAATCATCCATCTAAAACCGCATTAGCGTAGCTGTGATTTCAAGATTTCAAACAACGGATGAATTATGGACTTGAGGCTTGCCGGTGAAGATGAAAACTATTTTCCGCACAAATTTGAAAGTGATTACAAAATACTGGTATATGAGAAAAATACTTTTGAAGATGAGAGACGCGAAAACGATATCGGTTGCAACGCACGAGAAATGGGAGGTAACTCTACTTCTTCCAACACTCGTACTTCACCATACGGCATCCTGAAACACGAATACTGTAAAAGAAATACTGTAACTGCATCTATACTCCGGGTATATTTAAATTTATAAATATATCACTTCTATATATTAAATATTATTTAAACATATCACTTCGGAATCATGCTTAAAAATCAAGAATATGACTTGACCAGTGCCTAAAAATTTCAGCATCTTGCTTAGAAATCAACAATATGATTTGATTAAACCAATATTTGAAAGGAAAAGCCTAAAAGGTTGATAATAATAATAAGGACAAGTGGCATTTCAGGCTCACGTGCAAGTAAGTAAACTAGAATTTGTACATCTCACTGCTCCATTTCCTCGACAAGTTGGCATCTGCACACACAAAATACTCAGAACTAGCATTAGGTGTTTTGGAAATCTTTTGAAAAATGTAAACTATGGATGTTTGTTTGGCACTGTAAGCCAGCCGATGAAAGGGACACAGTTGGATATTGTCAATTGTGGGAAAGCAGTGAGTGCTAATTCAGATACCTAGATAAGCGAGCCTGTATGTGCATTAGCTGTTGCCCTTTCTGTATTTCATCCCTAAACTGTAAACACAGACGGCAAAGTCGGTGCGGAATGGGGTGGGAATCATCAGTACAGTGCCCCACTCCGCAATGTTTTGAACGAATATGTGACTTTTCGAGGGAAGATGAACTTGCTTCAAGTAACGCTTAGAAAGAAAACACGAGTAGTTCTGTCAGCGAGGAAATTCTGCTGGCAGAAGCACTACTAATGTGATGAATTCCGATGGCTATTTTTCCCGCTCACTCAGTATTCCTTTCCCGCTCATAAGACTGAATACGTAGGTAGCACATTCTAAATTTTGCTGAAATTCTAAGCCGGCCTGAAAAATAAAAATTTTAAAAAGATGCTGAAGGAATGACCCGTTTACTGCAGAACGCCGAGTGAGTATGCGGCATCGCTGGCGACCCATTGCCTGCACCGTTACACCACCATCGTTCTCGTGCAAACTTTGCACCTAAATCACTTTAATCAACAAACTGGCCACTGACCACTTAAAGGTATGCTGCATATGACTTGCAGAAAACACAAATAAGAGTTATCGTTCGGTGTCGGCTTCGATCGAAATTCAGTGCCACTAATAAGACTCGTAAATCTGATTTTTCAATACTTTTTTTTTTTATGCGTTTTGTGCTGTGTAACAGCAGTACAAAACGCATATTGTTACGGGTTTGTC